AATTGCCTATCTTAAGAGCATGAGGATTTCTCATATGTTATTTTCTAGAAGGCTTATTGTTTTACCTTGTATTATGGCCTCCAATCCACCTGGAATTTATTTTTGAGTGTGGTGTGAGATAGGCATTAAGTAAGATTCAGTTTTTTCCATCCCGATATCCAACTAGCCCACTACCATTTATTAAAAAGGTTACCTTTCCTCACTGTACTGTCATGCCACTTCTGTCATAAATCAGAAGATTACGTGTGAACATAGGCTTTACATGTTGCTGAAAAAAAACAGCGTAGCATGCGTACAAAAATACTTCAGTGGGGAAGGCATGGTTGGCAAAAAACAATGTGTAAATTATTTATGTGAAAACACAGTGTGTTTCTGAACTTCCTATTTTGTTCTTTAGGATAGTCCTGGCTGTTTGTGACCCTTTTATTTCTATATACATTTTGGAATCAGCTTGCTACTTTGAAGAAAAAAAAAGAAAAACCAAAACTATAAACAACACCATCAGGAATTTTGAATAGGACTACAACTGAGTCTAGAGATCAGCTGGGGATAACTGCCATTTTATAGTAGTGAGGGCTTCAATCCATGAACATGGTATATGCTTCCATTTATTTAAACCCTCTTTACTTCTCCTCAAGGAGTCCTGGTGGCACAGTGGTTAAGAGCTCAGTTCAAACTCACCAGCTGCTCCATGGAAGAAAGATATGGCAGTCTGCATTTGAAAAGATTACAGCCTTGGAAACTCTATGAGGTAAATCTACACTGTCCTATAAGGGTTGCTATGAATTGGAGTCAACTCGAAGGCAATGTGTTTTATTTCTCGTCAGTCATGTTTCAGAGTTTTCTGTGGAGAGATTTTACCTATCTTTTAAAAGACTTATTCCTAGTGGTTATTTTTGCAATGTTATTGAAAATAATGTATTTTAAAAATTTCATTTTCTGATTGTTGCTAATAATACAAATATAATTAATTTTTGATGTTGACTTATCCACCAACTATCCCAAATCCATTTAATAATTCTAACTTGTTTGTATATTATTTTGGATTTTGGGTCAGTAATCCTACGTCATCCATGAAAAAATGATTGTTTTCTTTCTTCCTTTCCAATTTGTTAATAGCTTTCATTTCTTTGTCTTGCCTTGATGCATGCACTGTCTAGGACATCTAGAACAATGTTGACTAGAAATAGTGACGGGGCATCCTTCTTTTGCAAATTCACACATATGGGCATCAAAAGACATGCACAGGAATGTCCATGGCAACACTGTCCACAACGGCCAGAAATGGAAATAACCAAAATGCCCATAAATAGTACATATGAATTGTGCTGTAGTTCTACAAGGAATACTATACAGCTATGAACAACAAACTACTGCTACACATAATAGAATGGATACATCTCACAAATAAGTTGAGTGAAAGAAGAAAGACATGAAAGATACAGTCTGAATGATCTAGTTCTATAAAGTTCAAAGATAGGCAAACTAATGTACAGTGTTAGATGCCAGAAGAGTGGCTGCCCTTAGTGGACGGTGAGTAGCAGGGGACAGAGGGAAGAGCCTGGGGAGCTGGGAACGTCCGTGTGTCGATCTGGGGGAGGTTACAGAACAGGTTTACTTTTAAAAACTCTTGAGCTGTGTACCTCTGATTTGTGCACTTTCCTCTATGCATTTTATATTTCATTTAAAGTGTATTTTTCAAATGCATGCATAGCAAGCACTTAATTGAGAAACAACCCTAAAACTGAAGCAGAAAATATCAGGGATATGCTCATTTACTCATTCATTAATTTTAAACATATGAACAAGAATGCATTTATGCAGCATTATTTATAGAAATGAACAGGTAAATCAACCTAAATGTCCAACATTATGGTACATACATTCATTGGAATACTATTCATCCTTTAAAAATAATGGTAGTATTTCTATTTATTGAAAAAGAAAATTGCCCAGCTCTAGTTAAAAGACTGCAGAAGAATATCTATAATGTGATCTCATTTTTTGAAAAGCTAACACACATATAGGAGCTCTGGTGGCATAGTGCCTAAGGCATTTGACTGCCAATCAGAAGGCTGGCAGTTCAAACCCACCAGCCACTCCTCAGAAGGAAGGTTGGGCAATCTACTTCCGTAGTGACACTGCCTCAGAAACCTAAGGAGGGGTCGCTATGAGTCAGGTCTGACTTGACGGTACATAACAACAACAACAACAACAACAACAACAATGCTTTAAGTATCTGAGAGAATATAGGCCAAAGTATTGACAGCATTTATCTCTGGGAGGGACCAGTGTTTCATGCTTGAACACCTATAGTTTCTCATTTGCCTACAAGAAGCATGTATTTACCTGCATGACTTTTTAAGGGAACAGAGAAGTTCACGGTATATCATAAAATGAAAACAAGATTACAAAACAGCATGTATAGTATCACACCACATTTGTCAAAAAAGAAAGGTCTGTTAAGTATATCTTTGTGTGCAAATACACCTTTCCTGTGGGTACACCAAGAAGGCTAGAGGACATACACTGAGCCGTCTGGAGAGAGGGATTATGGGTTAGCTGCTTTCTTACTCTTCTCTCTCTCTCTCTCTTTTTTTTTTTTGCTTTTGTTTTCTAATTTTTCTACAGTGAACATGTATTATTTGTTTAATGATAGGGTTAAAGAAAACAAGTTAGGTTTCAACAGGAGAGAAAAAAGGGGGCCGTCCATTCCTGCCTTCCCCCCTCCCACCCTCCGGCCCCTCCCACCCTCCGGCCCCTCCCCGAGTCTTACATTTTAAGAAGAGGGACCGCTCCGGAGAGGCCCCTGTCTTCAACAAGGTACCTGGCTTGGTGCTGGAGGAGCAGGAGAGCTGGCAGTCCATGCCTGTAACCAAGGGCGAGAAGCGATGCCTGGCACTCCCAAGCAGGCACAATTGACACAAGATGCTGAAAACACTCTAGAACTGGAGCTCCTGCCATCTGTCCCCAGGAACCTTGTGCAAACGTGTCGGAAATGCAGATTCCCAGCAGCAGGAAAATCAAGGTCCAGTTAGACATGCAGACCGCAGGACTGGACAGGCCAGTGTGAGGGAGCCCTGAACTTGGGTAGTCCTGGGGCAGAGGACGTGGACAGTCCTGAGAATCAGCGAGCTTCTTCAACACTCGAGGAGGAGAGGCAAGCTCCAGGCAGAAATGGAATCCCCAGCATAAAGATGAATAATGAGAAGCCAGAAACCAGGGCTGAGTGCTCAGAAAGGCCGTCTCCAGGGCACAGTCAGGTGAGGGAGAGTTACAGGGAACCCAAGCCGTGCTACCCATCTTCAGAACTCACAGGCAGGGAGAGGAGGTGAGAAATGGGCTCATGTACCCATGTTCACAGGCAGAGAGGGTTTAAGGTAAGGAGAGGGGGCTTGGAGGAGTCAGGGAAGACTTCTGGAAGGAGGAAGCGTTTCAGTTGGCCCTTGAAGGATGGGGGAGATTTGGACACACAGAAATAAGGATGGGAGGCTATCCCAACAAGAGAGTACAGAGGAAGTAAAGACATGGAAGGCAGTTGTCAGAAGTGGGGAGCCATGGAAGGTGTCTGAGGGAGGGAATGATATCAGCAGCAGAACTGTGAAAACTCCCTCAGGTGGGGATGGACGGGACGGGGTGAGAGTGGAGGCAGGAGGCCTGTGAGGAGGCCCAAGCCTGCACTGGGGCAGCAGGGATGGAAGACAGTCTGGGCCGAGGAAACACTAGCGGCAGAACTGCCAGGGCTTAATAGGACTCGACAGAGGTCACTGGGAGTAGAGAAAGAACAGGGTGGGGCCACGGGGCAGTACTGCATTTTGCAGTTCTGGGATGCCAGCTTGGCCCCACTGAGCCTGAAGTCTGTGGGGCACACAGGTAGTGACATGCGGGGTGCTCTGGAAGGACAGTGTGGACGAGGGACCCTCACCTCTGTGGCTCCTTCCCAGGAGTCAGAGCCTCTCCTGATGCTTGTGATGGTGAACAGTGAGGATCGCACATGAAGGTGGGTAAACAGAGGCCAGAAGATAGAGCATAGATCCTGGGACCAGAGTCTATTTGAATTCTATCTCTGCCACCTACCAGCTGTGTGACCTACAGTAAGTCAGTTAACCTCTCTGAGCCTCAGCTTTCTCAGCTGCAAAACAGGATGAATGAAGGCACCTCACGTACAGAGTGGTGATAGGAGCTGTTGGACGAGTCCGTATGAAGCGCTCAGAACACGGAGTGAGGGTGAGCTAGCTGTTGTCATGGACTCAGCAAGATTCCGCTCCCTGGGAATGGACCAGAGGGCATGTGAACGGCTTTCTGGATCCATCCGCCTAACCTCCTGTAAGGGGTGGGGTGCCAGGGTCCACTCACTGGACACTGATGAGGCCAAACTGGAGCCAACCACTAAGGCTCCCCACCCCGACACACACGTGCTTTTACTATTTCTTCTTCTTCTTCTTTTTAACTGAGATAGACTGACTGTGAAGATAGCCACTGGGGGGTGCAAATGTTAAGCACTTGACTAGCATCCAAACAGCTGGAGGTCTGAACCCACCAGAGGTGCCCTGGGAGACAGGCGTGGTGACCTGCCCCAAAGAGGTCTCCGCCCTGAGAAGTGTGTGGGGCAGCTCCTCTCGGCAGGCACGGGGTCACCATGAGCCACGACCAACTCAGTGGCAACTCACAGTGACACTGAGAATGGATTCTAAAAACAGTTACATCGCACACACTACACAAAGCATCGGTCCCCTCCTGCTTTGGCGAGTAGCAACTGGGGTCTTAAAAGCGTGCAAGCAGCCGTCTAGATGCAGTGATGGGTTTCTCCTCATCCAGAGCAAATAAGAATGAAGGAAACCAAAGATTCATGGAAACAACTGGTCTAAGGGACTGGTATACCCTGCGATACTAAGTCTATATGACTATGAGACCAGAAGAACCAGATGGTGCCCGGCTACCACTGTCAACCACTCAGAGGGGGATCTATATAAGAAATCCTGAATAGAGTGGGAGAACAATGTGGAACAAAACTCAAAATCATTGCCAAAAGGAAAAAAAGGGACCAGGTTTGCTGGTCTGATAGAGCCTGGTGGAACCCCTGAGACTGTGGCCCCTGGCTGCCCTTCAGGTCTGGAATTGAGCCCACTCCTGTGGCTTCCAGCCCAACAAAAGACAGGCCTAAGAGTTGAACATGTACCTGAGGTAGATACACTCCTTGGAGAGATCAGTCATGGGAGAAAGAATGGCTGCTTATGCACAGGGGGCAGGAGTCCATGGAGGGATAGACACAGGGGAAGAGGTAACTATGGGGAGGAAGTGGGAGGGGAGCTTTGCATTGTGGTAAATCGTAGTCAATGTCATGAGACAAAGTGTATGTGAACTGCTGTATGCAAAGTGAATTTGCTCTGTAAATTTTCACCCAAATCACAATAAAAAACAAAACAAAATCAGTTACATTGCAAGGATTTTCCAGTTGGACTGTATATCCAAAGTTGCAGTGGAAGTCATGGGAGAAGAGAACACCATCTGTAGATTAAAAATCTGCTCCAATAAGCCAGCTCTGGAGAATACTGTCCACACCCACGGAGCTCATCAGTGTCCCCAGCACATCTCAGTGTCGTCTCATCTCAGTGTGAAGTGCCTTTCCCTGTTCTGTCCGGCTCTCAAAATCTTACTCATTCTTCAAGGCCTGGCTCAAGTGCCACCTCCTCCAGGAAGTCCTCCCTGGTGTCCCTGTCTGAACCACTCACTCCTTTCTTGGCGACCTCATGGTACCTGTTGTGTCTGAGTTAGGCACTCACCTCATGAAGATGTGACAGTCTGCTTCCGTGAAGATGCTGTTGTTAGGTGCTGTCGAGTCACTTCCAACACGCGGTGGCCCCATGAACAGCAGAAGGAAACCGTGCCTGGCCCTGCTCAATCCTCACCATCAGTGTCGTGTTTGAGTCCATCGTTGCAGCCACTGAGTCACACCATCTCACCGAAGACCCTCCTGCCTTTGCTGACCCAAGTCTGTACCAAGCATGATGTCCTCCTGGTAGCGTGCCCGACGTATGTGAGACGAAGTCTCACTGTCCTCACTTCTAAGGAGCATCCAGGCTGCACTCTTCCAGGACAGATGTGTTTGGCAGTCCTTGGTGTATCCAGTATTTATTCAGTGTCTTTAGCCAATAGCATACTTCAAAGGCATCAATTCTTCTCCAGTCTTCCTTACACATTGTCTAGCTTTCACATGCATATGAGGCAACTGAAGATCACATGGCTTGAGTCAGGAACATCTCAGACCTCAAAGTGACATCTTTGTTTTTTAACCCTTTAAAGAGGTCTTTTGAAACAGATTTGCCCAATGCGATACGTTGTTTGACTTCCTGACTGCGGCTTCTATGGGTGTTGATTATGTATCCAAGTAAAACGAAACCTGTGACAGCTTCAGTCTTTGCTCTGTTGATTGTGATGTTGCTTATTGGTCTAGCTGTGAAGAATTTTGTTTTCTTCATGTCCAGGTGTAATCCATACCAAAGGCTGTAGTCTTTGATCTTCATCAATAAATGCTTCAAGGCCTCTTAGCTTCTGTAAAGATTATAACCTTGGAAACCCTATGGGGCAGTTCTACTCTGTCCTATAGGGTCTATAAGTTGGAATCATTGGGTTTTGGTTTTACACCCATGCCCTGTTCTAAGCATTGATTCTAACAACCACCCCAGGAGAGGGGATGACATTATTGACTCCATTTTTCAGATGTGGAAACAGTCATAGAAAAGTTAGGTACCTTGCTAAAAGTTAGGGTTACCAAGTGTGGGTCTGGGACAGGAACCTGGCGGTCTGGCTCCCACCTCATGGCTGGGAGCACCAGATGGCCTCAGGTGCATGGAGGGCACTGCGCGTTTCCTTCATGTCTGCTTACACGGCCCCTGCCCCAAGTAGCCCCACTTCCCCGGACACAATGGCTCTTCCTTGCCACGTTCCACTTCCTTTACACTGCTTTATTTTCTTCAGAGCACTTGGTACCTGTAATATTGACTAGTTTGTTGTTCAATCTGCCCCCAAAAGACTGAGCACCACAAAGACAGGAACTTTGTTTTGTCCCCTGGCCCCTGCTCATTCTAGACTCATGCCTGGCACAGAAGAGGGGCTCAGCCAATGTCCTACATGAAGCAGAGATGGGCAAGTGAATGAATGAGTGGATGGGTGTTCCTGAGAACCGGCTTTGTGCCAGGCCCTGTGGGCAACTCAGAGCTGGACCAAAAGTTAATCTCTCTTCCTGGAGGAAGTGATATCAGGAGAAGGAGCTTGCCAGGAAGCTGGGCCCAGGGATGGGTGTCCCTCCCAGTGAGCCCACCGTGCCCGCCTCAAAGCCACTGGGAGTTGGCCACGCAGAGGAGGGTGGCGGGAAGTGGTGTCGGTTGTGCCTGGAAGCCCAGAGCTGGCAAGGACGTGCTGTGGCGGAAGCAGGGAGGTCTGAGGGTAGCAGCAGAGTGGCGGGGCTGGCGAGAAGCAGGATGCGCTCCCAGGAGGGCAGCAGGGAAGCGGAAGCACGTGGGGGGCCAGACCCAAGCGCCCAGGGGACGGCCCAGGTGTGATTCGGGTGTTGATCTTCACAGTGGTCTGGGAGCTCTAGGGCCTGAGGGGTGTTACAGACACATGTTGGTCGCGTGGCAACTTACTTTCCTTAAGACGAGCCTCCAGTGGCATCTGCAGCACGGCCTGCACGGCCTCCACGAAGCCCTTGCAGAGGCTCTTGACAGGCTCGAAGGAGAGGGGCACGGGGTGCCTTAAGACGAGCCTCCAGTGGCATCTGCAGCACGGCCTGCACGGCCTCCACGAAGCCCTTGCAGAGGCTCTTGACAGGCTCGAAGGAGAGGGGCACGGGGTGGCACAGCTCCCCAAGGCTCATCTGCCGCTCCATCTCCTGCTTAGCAGCGGAGTAGGCCTGTGTGGAGTGAGTGGGTCAGGAGGCTTGCCCGGCCTCCACCGCCACACCCATCAAGCCCCTCATGCCGCCAAGCGCAAGGCCCACTCTGTCCTGGAAGCTGCCGTCAGCCCAGACCTCCAGGACAGTCCTGGGGAAATCACACAGCAGGTGCTGAGGGAGCGGACAAATGGAAGGCGGTCCAGCGCTGCCCTGGTGGCCCCACTCCCCCCTCGCTCGCCACCCCTCCATGTCCACTGGGTCCTACTCTGGGCTAGGGTATCAGGGGCAAAGCTTGAGTCAGACTGACTGTCCCTGCCCTTAAGCTGTTCACCACCCCACAGGGGGAAGCCTTACAGACTTTGTAACAGGAGTCGGTCTGAGGTTCAGGGGTGTCGGATGGGTAAGGAGCAGCCAGGGCGATCTCTAAATTGCACCCTTCACCCCAACCCCAGAAGAGTAGATGCCGATAATGGCCACGGTCAGCAGAAAGGCTTTCGCTCCCCGTCCAGCTGCCGCAGCCAAGCACCTTGCCTGCTTGTGGTGCTGACGAATTCTGAGCCTCGTCTGGCACCCCCTTCGGCTTGCACCTGGGGTAGGTGCCTCTCTCTGCCCATCCCACTCCCCAAACAAAACAAAACACCACAGCCAGCTCCAAAGTCATTCAGGCACCAAGTCTTCCCTGACCCGTACAGCATCAGGCATCTCTTGGACATACTTCTGCCAGCTCATCGGGCTGTGAGGTCAAGAACTCCTTCCTCGCGTGTCTCCCCACCCAGCTGCGAGCGTCTTGTGTGCAGCAGAGGACCTGGCTCACAGCGGGCTGCTCAGTAAAGGTATCGTTTCATTGTGCTTCGCAGACACTGCGTTTTTCACGAGTTGAAGGTTTGTGGCAACCCTGCGTCAAGCTAATCCATTGGAGCCATTTTTCCAACAGCATGTGCTCATTTTGTGTCTCTGTGTCATATTTTGGTAATTCTCACAATATTTCAAACTCTTCCATAAAAGGAGACAGTACGGTGTATATGTAACTTTACGTGCACTGGAAACCAAAGCTTCAGGTGATGCCTTTATCACGACGTCTGCGTTCTTGCAGTCGTCTGGATCCGAACTTGCAGTCTCTCTGAGGTCTGTGTGAAAATGTGTGATGAGCGAATGAATGAACAAACAGAAGGAAAGAATGAAGGAATGACAAAAGATAAAAACCAGCTTTGATAACAGAATAAAGAGAGAGATGACAGAGCTGTGATCTGTTTCTATGATGCGAGAAAATCACTCTTCTCTGTGGAAGAATTCCTCTGTCTTACTCTCAAAAACTCACTGCCATCGAGTTGATTCCAACTCACAGCCACTCCCACTGGGTTTCTGAGGCAGTCATCTTTACGGAAGTAGATTGGTGCATCTTCTTCCACGGAGCAGCTGGTGGGTTTGAACCACCAACCTTCTGGTTAGCAGTCAAATGCCTTAGGCACTTAGGTAGCTCTAAAAATTACAGTAGCTTAAAAAGAAACAGATGGACGTTTGTGAGTCTTCCCTCTTAAAGTGTAACATCAGTGTGTCTCCGTACAGCTCACCCAGAAATGGCTGACGTCATCAACACTGAGGTGCAGCCTGAGTAAACCAGTCCTCCTGAAAGCACAGAGGGAAAACATCTGCCAGGGGACTGCCTTGACAGGCTTTGTACTAGCCCATCAATGGTCTAGCTTATTTTCCAGAGTCCATGCGCATCTGTGGATAGACCCAGTGCTACTTTGTTAGTTGTATCCTGCCTTGTCCCACAAGCCTTTAAAATGTCTTACAAAAGTCATCTAATTATGCAGGGTGTTCCTTCCCAGAGAGGAAGATGAAACAGAGAGAGAACCAGGATGAGGATATGAGCTGCAAGCCAGAGTGCAAGGAGACAAAACGCATGCCCCCAAGTCGTCAGCACGCAGCTGGGGTGTATGCGGAGAAGCCGAAGCCAAGAAGGAGACACAGTTACATGAGTGGAGAACGGAAAGCCAATTTGCTCCACAAATTTTCACCCAAATCACAATTAAAAAGAGAAAGTGTTGTATGAGTGGAAAAGCACCCCAAGTATACGGATGACTGCACAAGGGTGTTGACACCAAGAGGAGTCGCTCCCATTGTTCCTTGAAGACAGAAACTCCATCCTCAACAGCGTGCTTTGGCTGAATGCAGCAAAATGGGGATGACTGCTTTATCTTAGAATCTCCTTCAATACAGGGTCAACAACTTCCAACCAAGCCCAGGGGCCAAGCAGAAGCATCCTCTTCTCTCCCCTGAATAGACTGTGACTCAGCCACTTCCGCTGGGGAGCCTTCCCGGGAGGACACGTGTCTCTATTACCACTGCACTGGCAGAGGAACAGGCCGTGGACTATGTAGGGTAGAGTCAGATGACCTGGGTTCTGATCCCACCTCTGCCACCCACCAGCTGCGTGACTTCCGGGGAGTCGCTTCACCGCCCGGAGCCTCAATTGCTCATTAGTAACATGGGGTAACAAGATCCGTTTGGAGGAGTTCTTGTACATATTACAGCTAAGGCACATAAAGTGCTTGGAACACGGAGGTCCTCAAATACGGCGGCTACTGATACTATTTAATTAGTTCAAGATGTGTATGATCTTCGTAACAATGTCCACTTTCTGACCACTTGTGTGGGGGCAGTAAGGTCTACATAGTGACACAGCAATTCTCCGTGTATTCACTCACTGTGTAGATACGGTGTTTAATGCCACAGTCATTAAGGGCCTTGGTGAGGGGCCTTGGTGGTTCAGAGGTAGAATTCATGCCTTCTACGTGGGAGACTGGTGTTCAATTCCCAGCCACTGCACCCATGCACAGCCCCCACCCCTGTCGGTGGACACTAGGGTGTCGCCATGATGCTCAACAGGTTCCAGCAGAGTTTCCAGAGTAAATGGGCTGGGAAGGAAGCCCTGGTGACCTACTGAAAACCAGCCAATGAGAACCCGTGGATCCCAACATCTGATCCACAGCCAATTATGGGGCAGGACCAGGACCAGGAAGCATTTCAGTCCACTGTGCACGGGGTCACCATGACTGGGGGCCAACTTGACAGCTGACAACCACCGAGATGAAGTGTGGGTGGTAGGTGGCAGCGTGAGGACATAACCCCGCATTACCTGCAGCAGTCGTATAGGGTCGGGCTCCTGGCTGATGCTGTAGACCCTGTGGGAGAGGTCATTCATGGCGTCAATGTGCTCCCCACAAGACTCGGTCTGCTGCCTGTACACCTGCAGGGCGAGCTGTGTGTTTTTATCTATGTATTTCTTGGCCAGTGCTTCCTCTTCATCCAGCAGTAACCTGAGTTCTGTGAATTTCCCTGCCAGCCAAGCTTTACTTGACTCTGCATGAGCCTGAAACGAAAACCAGTTGCAGACGATATGATTGTCAACCTAGGAAATCAGAAGGGTCAACATGAAAAGATACCAGAACATCTACAAAGCAATTGAGCAAGGTGGCCAGCCAGATAAGAGATCAAATGCTAAAAACCAAAGCTTTCCTAAGTACCAGTTAGAACCAACTGAAAATGTATGAAGAAATAAAGATTCTTTATAAAACAAGAAAAGAAAATTACCCAATATCTAAAAGTAAACTTTATGACAACAGTAAAGGTAGGTCAAACAGACTGTAAAACTATATATAGAGAAAACATATTCTGAATGTTTGGAGGAATGAACTATATCCCTGGCTTGGGAGATTCATTATTATAGGTGATGTATTTCTCCAAATTAGCCTGTACATCCCAATCAAAATCTTAACATTTAAAAATTATTAAATTAGCAGCCAGCTAAGGTGCAACTTTGGTCTCTCTCCACCTGGAGCAAAGGAGAATGAAGAACATCAAAGATGCATGGAAACAATTAGTCCAAGGGACTAGTAGACCATGTGAACCTTAACCTACATGACCCTGAGACCAGAAGAACTAGATGGTGCCTGGCTACCACTGTCACCACTTGGAAAGGGAACAGAATAAGAGACCCTGGAGAGAGTGGGAGAACAACGTGGAACAGCTCAAAATCATCAAAAAGACCAGGTTTACTGGTCTGATGGAGCCTGGTGAAACCCCCAAAAGTATGGCCTCTAGTCACCCTTTGGGCCTGGAATTGACTCACTTCTGTGGCTTCCAGCCAAACAACAGACAGGCTGAACAATTACACTAGGTAGGTACCCTCCTTGGGACAATCAATCATGGGAAATCAGAATTGCACAGGGAGACAGCCCAGAGGACAGGAATGCATAGGAAAGAAGGACACAGGGAAAAGGTAACCACAGGGAGCAAGTGGGAAGAGAGCTGTTACATTATGAGGATTGCAATCAATGCCTCGAAACATAACATGTATGAACTATTGAATAGAAAACAAATTTTTTCCATAAGCTTCCATCCAAATCACACAAAAAAGAAAATTCCTCAAATAATAAATCAACTAGAATAAAATATAAAACAAAATTTTTAAATAAATTTTTGGGAGGAAGGTGGGACCAAAAGGGAAAAGCAAAATGGAAGACGTTGAAGGATTTGACCACATTAAAGAATAAAACAATGTCTCTAAGAGAGGATGGAGGCTCACTGCAGGTGGGATGTTTCAATTTACAAACAGGTCACACAGGGAAGTAGCAGTAAACAGAGGCACTCAGTCTCCTAGGCAACCAAGGGAGTGGCCACTGCAATCAAACAATAGTGTCTGAGCATCAAATTGGAAAACATTTAACTGAGTGACAACACCAGCATTTGTAAGGGCATATATACCCACTGTGGGTGTTAGTGTTGACTGGTGCTGTATTTTCTGTAGGCAATACCCTTTGATGCAGAGTTCTTCTTACAGGAGTCACTCCTACAGAATGCTTTCTCACGGATACAGAGAGATGTGCACCAAGATCCCCACAACAGCATTGTCAGTAACGGCGAACACCGAAAGCACTTCCGTCTCGAGTCAGTTCCCACTCCTGGGACCCCATGGGTTACAGAGCAGAACCGCTCCACGGGTTTCTCTTAGCTGTAATCTTACGGGAGCAGGTCGTCACCCCTTCTTCCACGGTGCCCTGGGTGAGTTTGATGTCAACCTCTAGGTTATAGGAGAGTATAAACCGTTTCACCACCAGGGACCTTAACAGTGAAAAGCTAGACACAATATTTAGTGTGGGGAGTGTTTATATACAATATAAATTGTTTTTACGGGTCAGTGGGCCTGGACACAAATACATCTTTGTTGCACATAGGGTTGCTATTGATCGGAGCCAACTTGCCAGCCCCTAACAACAACAACAACAACAACAACACACACACACACACATGCCTTTCGTTTGTAAAAGCATCAAAAGCTCACTGTGGAAACTGGGGGAGATCCAGAAAGGAGAAAACAACTGGCATGCTGTCATCTAACCCCACTTAAGTAAAACGTTAGGTAGCAGGGGAGCGTTGAATCCTGCCTACATCTTGATGTGTTCCCCCCGAGAGGCTGTGATGGGGAAGCAAACAGCCTACTTAGAAGGATGTCAGAGGAAACCATTTGATGGTTGTGGGTGGGGCTGTCTCCTAGAGATGACCAACAACCAAGTCCTCAACTGGTCTCTGTGTCAAGTGGCTGGCAGGCCTGGCCACCGGCCTCCCAGCAGCCGACTGTGGCCCAGGCTTGGACTTTCCTGTTTATGGGTCACTTCCTAGGCAGGAAGGGAGACTAAGAGAAGATATTTGCAAATTACAAAGCAGACAAAGGACTACAAAGACAACTCTCAAAACTCGGTGGGAAGAAAACAAACAATCCAATCAAGAAATGGGCAAAAGATGTAAGAGACATTTCATTGGAGAGGACAGACAGATGGCAAATAAGCACATGAAAAGATGTCCAACACACTAGCCATAAGGGGAACGCAACTTAAGACCACACACCTATCAGAACGTGTCTACAGTAAACACGAGTGAAGTGCCACTTTCATCCTGTTGGTGGGATTGTAAAATGATGGCACAGGCACTCTGGAAAACAGGTGGGCAGCTTCTCATGAAACTAGACATGCAAGTTCCGTGCAGCCCAGCCCAGTGGTCGCATTCCTGGGCATGCATTCCAGAGAAATGAAAACTGATATTCACACAAAACCCTGCCCACAATTGTTCAAAGCAGCTTTACCTGTTATAGCCCCAATCTGGAAACAGCCAGAATAGCCTACCGTTGGTGAAGGGTTAAATAACTGCTACATCCATACCACCGACTACCACTTAGCAATACAAAAGCGTGAACTTTGTACATGCGACAGTTTGGACGGACATCAAGGGCATTATGCGGAGTGAAAAAAAAGTCTCAAAAGGTTGCATAATGCAGGATTCCGTTTTTATAACATTCTCGAAAAACATCTCTCACATGAGCAGAACCATGGGCTCAGACAGAGAAGTCAGCTCAAAAGGATTTGGGAAGTGAACTCTGGGGCGCTCCAAGGCACGGGTGTGTGCTCGGGGCTGCTTCCCCTTAAGAGCCGAGCTGGGGCTATTTTCAGTCACAGAGATGGTGAAGGCATCAGTGACTGCCAACGGGTAGGGGCTGGTCGTGTTGGGGGATGGCTGACTGTAGACAGGCAGCATGGGGGGGACCGTGGGCTGACGGAGTATTTCTCTATCTTGATTGGTGGTGGTTACATGCGTCTACACATGTGGCACGTTGACAGAGAACATACACACTGACCATTTCCTGGTTTTGTTATTGTCCTATAAAATCCAAGCTTTGAGGCAGCTTGGTGAAGGGTAAACAGAACATCTCTGTACTCTCTTTGCGACTTGCTACAAATCTATAATTATTTCAGAATAAAAAGTTCAAAAAAAGTTGGAGGAGGGGGTAAAAAGAAAACCAATCGTTAGATTAAACTAAAACCTGTCTCCAGACCTTACGACCACACTGGTTGACTCTTTGCTTGGGGGATCCCACACTGCACCTGCTTAAAGGTTGGCAGACAGTGATCCTGAGCCCCAACTCTGTTCTCAACCCTGAACAGCCCCGAGCACACCCCCATCCCTTCGGGCGTGCCAGCTTTTACTTCCCAAATCCTTCTGAATGCATTCGTCTTCCTGAGTCCACTGTTCTGCTTTTTCTTTCTTTTTTTTTAAATTGTGAATTGGGTGAAAGTTTACAGAGCAAATTCACTTTCCATACAGCAGTTCATGCACACGTTATCTCATGACATTGACTACAATTTACCCCAACGCAATAGCTCCCCTCCCACTTCCTCCCCATAGTTACCTCTTCCCTGTGTCCACCCTCCATGCACTCCTGCCCCCTGACCTGTCTCCTGTGCATAAGCAGCCCCTCTTTCTCCCATGATAGTTCTCTCCAAGGAGTGTATCTACCTCAGGTCAATGTGCAGCTCATATGCTTGTCTTTTGTTTGGCTGGAAGCCACAGGTGTGGGTTCAATTCCAGACCTGAAGGGCAGCCAGGGGCCATAGTCTCAGGGGTTCCACCAGGCTCTATCAGACCAGCTAACCTGGTACCCCCTCCCCTTTTTTTTTTCACTGTCCTGCTTTTGAAGACACGAGCGATGTTGTTTTTTTAATTTTTTCAGTGTAGTTTACAGAGCAATTTGTTTTCAACAATTTATACACATTTTGTTTCATGACATTAGTTGTGATCCCATTAATGTAATGCTCTCTTCCCACTTCCTCCCTGGGCTCCCTATTTCCATCCATTCATCTTTCCTGTTCCTTCCTACATTCTGAGCTTTGTTTTTGGACAATGATGTCTTCTGATCTCATGCAGTCGATTGTACTGAGGAGTACATTCCTCCCTGGTGTTATTCACTTCATAGGCCTGTCTGTTGTGTGGCTGACAGTTGATCCCGGGAGGTGGGTTCAGTGCCAGGCTTGAAGGGTGTCTAAGGGTCACAGTCTCAGGGGTTCTGTGATAGTTGGAGCTGTGTATCCACTTGGCTGGACCACAATTCTGTGTAATTTAAGCAGTTGTGATGTGGTTATTCCCATGATGGGATCAGATGTATGTTTTGAGCAGCCAATCTATTGTAAGGGAGTTTCCCTAGGGGTGTGGCCTGCTTCCAGTGTATTTATGGACATTCTGGGAAAAGAGACATTCTTCTGTGGATTGGGATCCTGCTGTGCGGCCTACAGCTGTCTGTGAGCGAACAATCCACCATTCGGCCTGGAGATCTTGGATTCGTCATTCATTGGAGTCAACGGACAGTATACTGCCTGCCAGCCTCAAGCTCCTCAGCCCCTGCAGCTGCGTGAGTTGGGAAAAGCCTCCAGCTTGACTTTCGACCCAAGAACTTTGGACTTGCCAGCTTCTATAAGTGTGTGAGCTATTTTCCTGAGATAAATTTTCTTTCTCTATATAAGCTTTACTGGTTTTGTTTCTCTAGAGAACCTAGTCTAACACAGGTTCCATCAGTCTGTATCAGACCAGTACCTCTGGTCTGTTTTGTGAGTTTGAATTTTGTTAATTATTTCTTCTCTCACTCTGTCCAGGGCCTTCTTTTGTGGTCCTGATCAGAGTGGTTGGTGGTGGTAGTGGCGCACCACCTAGTTCTTCTGGTCTCAGGTTTGCATGGTTCATTAGTCTTTGTTTCCTCTTTGATTTCCTTCACTCTGCTTTGCTCAGGATGAGGAGAAACCAATAGTTGTACCTTAGACAGCTGCTCACAAGCTTTTACGACCCTAGTCACTACTCACCAAAGTAGGATGCAGAACATTGTTTTTGTGGACTATGTTGTGCCAGTTGACCTGGATGTGCCCTGGGACTGTGGTCCTAAGTCTCCAAGCCCAGTGACTCCTTACTGAAGGGTACTATTAGTAACAAGCCAAGGCCACAGGTGTAAACCAGAACCATTTCCTGCAAACATTCTACAGATAATGGGTGTTGGGCAGAGGGCCAACTCTGTGGCCTGTCCTGGACCTCTGTACCTGGTCATCTCCAGCCTGGACCCCACTCAGCTGTGAGGCCAGCCTTCAGCCTTCGTGGGCGCCAGCTACTCCCATCACCAGAGCCAGGCTCCCTGAGGTTCATGGAGCTCTTAGATCATGAGAGATGAGAGTGAGAGGAAATGGACCAGCCCAAGATCACCAAGAGGCCTCTAAAGACGTCAGCATTTTCCCAGCCAAAATGGTGACTCAGCAGTACGCAATCCCAGCTTTGTACTCCAAAGCACAAAACAGTCCACTTGAATCAACATCATTATGGAAGGGGAAGTCTGCAGGAAGTACACCTTCATAAAGTCTCTCTGTGCCCTGTTTACGTTCTTCCAGCATGGCGGGGAAACGGAAAGAGATCTATGTTCCTGAAGCAGTATTTGTTTTAAGAGGATTTGGGGGTGCAAATGGTTAAGTGCTTGGCTATTAACTAAACGATTGGTGCTTTGAACTCACCCAGATTCTGAGATGCCTCAGAAGGCCTGGGATCTGCTTTTCAAAAAAAATTAAAACAGCCATGGACAACTCTACAGAGCACGGTTCTGCTAGGACACTTAGGGGCCGCCATGAATTGGCGTTGACTTGATGCCAACTGGGGCAAAGGTTTGGACGTGGCAGTTGAGGGATCGTGAAGAACTAGCCCTTCCAACAGAATGGCAGCTAATTTGACATCTTTTGGTGACAGGAAACGCCACTCCTCTGTTTTGGGAGGCAGCTGGGGGAGGGCTCTGTAGGGTGTGGGACACAAAGTTAATGAGACAGAGACTTCAGGGCCCTCCCTCACTTGCACGACCCCTTAAGGTCTTGCATCTAATTGGAATTTTTATTCTTTTTCTCAAAGAGAGCTCCTTAAATTATATAAGCCCCACAAACCTACTGCTGTCAAGGTGATTTGGACTTAGAGTGACCCTACAGCACAGAGTAGAACTGTCCCCTACGGTTTCCAAGGCTGTAATCTTTATGGAAACAGATTGCCACATCTTCCTCCCAGGGAGTGTTGGTGGGTTCAAATCACCAACCTTTCGATTAGCAGTCAAATGCTTAACTACCACACCCCCAAACCCCCCAAACCAATCCGACTGCCATCGTGTCAATTCTGACTCAGAGCCACCCCTGCTGATTTTCCAAGGTGGCGAATCTTTACGGAAGTAGACTGCCCCATCTTCCTTCCACGGAGCGGCTGGTGGGTTTGAACCGCCAGTCTTCTGGTCAGCAGTCAGATGCCTTAGGCGCTGTGCCACCGGAGCTCTGACCACACCAGCAGGGCTCCTTACTAAGCCCCAGTCCCCAACAGACCTGGTTTGCCCTTTGAGTTTGTTTCTCATTCACTTGGCTCCTTGTGGGGGAACCTGATGCCTGAGGGGAAATACAGCATCTCAACTAGAAGAAAGAAATGTCTACTTGCCTTGAGCTTCTCGGCCGCGTCTTCTATCTGCGTTATGTTATCAGCTTCTTGTTGCTTCTTGGTTGCCAACTGCTTTAAACAGTCTTGCGTGAGCCTCTGTGCGTGAGGGAGTAAGGGGAACAGTCTTAATACCGTCACTACGAGAAGACAAGACAGCTGGTGATCACCTCGCTCCTGCATTTTTTTCTGCAGAGGTACGGAGACTCAGAAGGTGCAGCCTGTCCAGAGTCATGCGGCAATGGGGAAAGAGCTGGGTTCCTCCGACTCTCAGAGCCCCTTATCAGGGCCGCCAGTCTGGAGGCCCTGCTGCTTTTTCTGTAATTTTTCTTGTTTAGGACACATTCTGCTTGTCACCTGCCCTTCCAGCCCCTCAGGCGGGACCTGACGGCAAGCAGTTTGGAGTCAGGGAGAAGCGTCCACTTGCGGAATATTAACTGAGCAGCTATTCTCTGCCAGGCCCTGTTCCAGGAGCCACCCTCATGAAGCTTACCTTCCAGGGGCACGGTGGTCCTCTGGCCCTGGACCGGGGATCAGAAGCCATTTGTGGGACAGATCCATGCAGTTCATGCTCCCCTCACTCTCCCACCCAAAGCGGCCCCCTTCAAATCTCTGCTTTCTGGACGTGCCAGAGGCCTGCTCTGTAACCTCTCCCTGCCTACCTGCCCCCAGGAGGGACCTTTCTCTCCATCCCATCTTTCTGAAACCTGCCCTCACATTCAGCCACTCGGCCCAGGTCTGGCTGAGCCAGCTTACTGGCAGCCTCTGAGGGCAGCCCTGAGTCTGTTCCATTCCTGGGTCCCCCACAGGCCTAGGGGGCGATCCAGAGGCGTTGGCTGAACTGAGCAGAATCACCAGGGGCTGCCAACTTCAAGCAGAGAGCTGGGAAGCCACGTGGCAAGCACACACTCTACAGGAGAAAAGAACAAGGTCCGAGTCCAACTTCTTTCCAGGTGACCTGGGCAAGCGGCTTCACCTTTCTAAACTTCCGTCTCCTCAGCCGTAAACATGGATAAACCCATAGGGTTGCCACGGGGACTAAATGAGATGTATACAAAGTACTTGGCCCAGTGCCTGGCACCACGAGTGCTCAATACACATGGCTCTTACTGTTATTTTCATATTCAACCAACATTTGCTTTGGGAGGTACGGTTTTAGTCTAGGCAAGGGAGGAGGGAGAAGATGGTCCCAACCCAGGTATAAGCCATGGACTCAGCCTCCAGGACCACATGCTATCCCCTTGTGATACCTAGGCCTTCCCGCCCATCTCCTGTCCATCACCCAAGGATACCCCTAGCCACCTGGTGTCTGTGCCCTCCTGCCACAGGATGCGTCTCCTGTTTCGGTGCTTCTGCTCTACCTGGTGAAATCCTACCTCAAGGCCAATTCCAATGGAACTTCCTCCAGGAAGTCTTCCTGGACTTCTTGTCCTGGCCCATGCTGTCTTTTCTCTGGCTTTCAGTGACTCTTGCTGGGTTTTCCCCATTATAGTACTTAAAATATTGTATTGTCATGGCCTGTGACCCCAAGAGGGAGCTCTGGTAGCGTAGTGCCTAAGGCACTTGACTGCTAACCAGAAGGCTGGTGGTTCAAACCCACCAGCCACTTCTTGGAAGGAAGGTTGGGCAATCTACTTCTGTATGTAGTGATATTGCCTCAGAAAGCCAAGGAGGGGTTGCTATGAGTCGGGTCCAACTCAATGGCATATAACAACAACAACATGACCCCAAGGAGGGGTCGCTATGAGTTGGATCCGACTTGATGGCAGTGAGTTTGGTTTGGTTTTTTGGGATTCTCCTCCCACCAACCAGAGGACCTCTTCCAGGTCCTCTGATCTATCCTTGACTTTTGTAGAAGACAGCATTTGGCACAAGGTATGTGTTGAAAAGATGTTTATGAATGAATGAATGGATGGATGATGAGTGGATGATGAGTGGGTGGGTGTATGGATGTGAAAAAGGTACGTGCAGGTAGGTGGAGAGGTCACTGGGCAGAGAGCCGCAGCTGGACAGCAGCCTTGCTATCTCTTGGTAACAGCTTTATGGAGGCTATTATATCATGATAGCCATTCTATTGATAAAAGAACTAAGGCTGGAGGCAAAGGCAGGCCTCAAACCCAGGACTCCACAAGCCTGGCCCGCACAGAGCTCATTCCTCCTCACAGCTCCAAGGTTGTCAGGTGGCCTTCAGCTTGCGACCCCGCAGAGGAGAGGTTGTCTCTGGACTGGGTCAGTCACAGACTTCTTGAAGGTGGAAGTGGTAGAGACGGAGGGCCCTGCCTAGCCCAGCCTGAAGCCTGGAGAGAGAGATTCACTAGGTTCACAGAACACGCTAGCAGCAAGACTGGAGCAGGTGCCCAGGGTCCCTGGCCACTGGTACTAGGAAGCCACTTGGGTGAGGGCTCCAAGGTGAGAATGGGGCCTGTGCAGGGCAGTCCAGGGTGTGGAGTCCTGGGTTCAAGGCCTGCCTTTCCCGCCTAGCTTTAGTGTTTGATCCATAGAAAGGCTGTGCCAGTGGTGGAGGGGAGTGTGTGTGTGTGAAGGAGGCAGAGGGAAGGGAGGTGGCGCTGAAGTTGAGGCTGCCCTGGGGGATCGCGGCAGTTCACAGTTCTTTCTTGAAGTCCAGATAGAAACCAACCAGAGGTCTGTGTAAGTTGTCAGGACCCACCCTGCTGGTTCCCAGCTGGGATGGAAGTGGTTCACCTCTTTTAAAAGGCTGATTTCTTCTAGTCCCAGTGCAGTGTGGTGGACCAGGTCAAAAAATCGATGGCCTTGGGGTCGCCTTGGCCCCTGCCCGGGCCTAAGTCTTCAACTCTGAACACTTGACGCCTGGAGCACCTCTGGGCATCTTGGGGACCGCAGGGTCCCAGCACCGACCCCGGCACGCCCCTGGCCCTCCCCCGCGCGCCGCCCCCAGCCCCACCTGCACGTGCGCCACCTCCTCCAGCGCCAGGCGCACGGGGTGGCCGCGGTGCGCGCCCAGCACGGGGCACAGCGCGCACACGCAGCGGCGGCAGCGGCGACAGAAGAGCTCGGCCTCGCGGTCGCTGTGCTCCGGGCAGCGCCAGCCGCACGCCTCCTGGGGCTCGGCGGCTCCCGGGCCCCCGGCTGTGGCGCTCGTCGCCGCGGCGGCCGCCATGCATCCCCACCGCTTCGGGCTGCGCGCTGCAGGGCGGAGCTCGTGCCGGGATTCGAAAGCTCGGGGCGGGGCAGCTGCGCGTCCGGCTGCAGCGTCGGCCGCCTCGGAGGCACCCTTCCTGCCTCAGGCCGAGTCTAGCACGTCCCGCCGCCCGCCAGGGGGTGGCCACAGCGGAAAGGAGGGTCCGCCCCTGCTCAGCTAACGGAAGGAAGTGGGGGGGGGGGCGCCGGGCGCCGGTCCCGCGGCTCTGTCCTGAGTAGCACCTAGAAGCCAGCAGCCCTGTGGGTGCGACCAGGATGGCTGGGGCGTCCCTGAGGGGGTGCACTGCAGACTCTGTTTCACCGGCCCTTTCCCAGGAGAGAGACCCAGTCCCACACTTGGAAGGAAGAGGGGTTGTCGGCAAGTCCCCTCCACGCGCATCTGGGTAACACGGAGCTCCACAGGGTTTTCAATGGCGGGTTTTTCCAGGAGTAGACCACCAGGCCTTTCTTCCGCGTGGCACCACGGGTCGGACTCGAACCGCTAACCTGTAGATTAGCCGGAGCTGGAAGACACTCTGCAGGAAGTGAGTTCCTGTTGATGGACAGGAGCCGGCTGAAGAGGTGGGTGGGAGCAGACAGTGGAAGAATCCCGTCAGTATCACTGAGTCGTAAAGGCTGCTGGATGCCCGCTGCTTCTAGTCTCAACGACAAAACCACCACCAAGAGAACGTTTAGAAAATGAAAGCACTTCCCTGGAAATCCAGTCACTGGAAGGCTAAACTCCCAGCTCCCACGTAAAGGCCCTGGGCTGTTCTGGTCCTTCGCTTTGGTTCCGTGCTTGGCTGCTAACCCAAAGGTTGGCGGTTCGAACCCTCCTGCCACCCTGCCGTCGGCATCTATACATAAAGATGACAGCCTTGGAAACCCTGTGGAGCAGTTCTCCTCTGTCCTATGGGGTCGTTGTAAGTTGGAATCCACTTGACAGCAGTGGGTGTAAACTTGGTCTAAGGAGCCATGTCTGTCCGATTTCCCTGTATGGCATCTGGCCCAAAGAGCAGGTGCTTAATTATGATTTGTGGCACAAATGAAGAAAAGCCAAGCCCCATGTAATAAAATGTCTATTCAGATTTTATTATTTGTTACATTCTTTCCATTGCACGATTCCACAACATTTATTTTCACTTCTGTTATAATTTTTTTTTTTTTTACAAAGGTAGAATTTCAGAAACAATGATAAAACCATCATTTAATTGTTTCAGGCACGGTTTCATGTTCAAAGCATCAATCAGGTTCTGACTTCCTGTCTCCAGACACCATCTCAAGCTTTGTTGCAGGAAGAACAATTACTTGAGAGCGAAAAGGAGCACGCCCCCCCCCAGCCCGTCTCCTAATTTCTTCCCCACTCCCAGAAAGTTCCTGGGCCAACACAACAGACAGTGGCTCCCAGGGCTCCAGCGCTGTCTGCCATCTGGCTGGGCTCTCCTGGCTCTGGGCAAGTTCCACTAGAACAGCTCAAGATCATAAACAAAAACGTAATTGAAAAAAAAAAAAGCTTAAAAAAATATCTGGTAAAAATTACCTATCCCTCTCCCTTGCTAAGAAATAATTTAAATAATTTATTCTAAATGTTAAAAAAAAAAGTTTGTTCAAAGATGCCTGCTGTTTTGAAGCACAGGTCGCTAGGGTAGGGGGCTGGAGAAGGGCGGGGCAGAGGAGGCATGCTGAGCTCCTCTCTGGACTCAGCCCCCACCTCCGCCACCAGGGACCTTGGCCTCGATGTTCTGTCACTGCTTTGAGGCGAGGTCCTCCCTCGCACCACAGCAGGGTGCATGAGTGAGCGGAGGGGAGATGCTTTGTAAACTGTGAAGGGCTGGCCGCAGATGAGGTGGCAGAGGCCACCCAGCGGAGCTCTGCTTCCCCGACATGCCTGGCATTTGGCCTTGTTCTCCAGGGCACAGTAAGGCAAGCTCGGCTGGGCCCTCAGACTGGGGCAAACCCCAGTGCCTGAGTGAACAGAAGCGAAGGGACAGGAGCGTGGGTGTCTGCTGGGGGCAGACAGACAAGGGGAATGGGCCATGGCTATAGAGGAAACCGACAGGGACACACAGAACAGGGACGCACAGTCTAGCACGCTGTGCTGGCGTCCCAGAGAGCTCCGGGGCTGCACTGAGGACACTTCCGGACTTCTTAGGCGCCTCTGGCCAGGACTTAGAGGATGTGGGTTCGAGTCCCAGCTCCTGTCTGGAACTCACTGCCCTCATCTTTACCACAGAGGGGTACACATGGACTGGCCAGTGGGTTTCCATCCTCACCGCATTGCAGAATTGCCCGGGGACCTTAGAAAGAGACTGAATGCATAGATTCAGAATTAGTTGCTCAGGGTGGGGCCTGAGTATCTGTGTTCTCTGAATGTCCTCAAGGTGCTTCTAATGTATAAACCAAACAAAAAAGTAAACCCACTGCTGTCGAGTCAATTCCAACACTTAGTGGCCCTACAGGATGGAGGAGACCCACCCCTAGGGTTTCCAAGACTGACACATTTTTCTTCCAGTGGAGCAGCTGGTGGGTTTGAACCCCTCACCTTTTGGTTAACAGTCAAATGCTTAACTACTGTACCCCTAGGGCTCCTTCTCCACTGTGCGGCCTGGGTTGAAACCCACGAGGCTGGGTGGCTCCTGCAGCCCCGTTCTTCACTCCAGAATCACCCTGCATGGGGGGGTGGGGAGGTGTGAGACACACACACTCGGACGGACTCATTAGCCTTTTCTTGGTGAGGAGCGGCACGCTGAACTTCCTTCCAGTTATTCCCAGTTTCTTGCTGGGCCCTTGTGGTTACCCCTTAGAAAGAGAACCTTAGAGCAAGGCTCAGAACACAGAGCCACACAGGAGAGACAGCAGAAAAGGTCTCAGGATGGCAAGGGACTTGAGGGCCATCTGCTTCCTAGCACAGCCACCCCTCTCAAGAGCCCCTCCTGGGCAGTGGCCACGGGCTCTGCCTGAATACTGTCAGCAGCCTACCTCCTGGGGGCCTTTTCTGCTAGCTTGGGCTGGAACCTGCCTCTGGGCAGTGGAGGAGGCGGGCCCTGTGACCCTGAGGGCTTTGGTGGCAGCTGTCCGCGGTCGCAGGCACCTCTGTCTGCATCCCCACATAAGAGATACTACCTACCCACATCTGGCTGATTCTGGTTGAAGAGGGGATGGTTCGAGGCCTCTTGTCTGTGTTCTAGAACTGGATGACTCTTGACTCATTCCTCTAAACTCTCACTCTTTGCTTGTGAGTTTCTGCAGCAAACCCAGATCATCACCCCACATGGAGCTTCCTCAGGCCAAGGCCAAGGTTTCCTGGCTCAGGTGGTAGGTCCTGTAGAAGGCAGCTCGTTCACAGGCCCCCCTTGATCAGGGGCCAGAGGTCCCCAAGCCACTTGGGACATAGCTAAGGTGAGGCTGGAACCAAAGGACTCCTGCCCACTAGGCTGAGAAGTGCCTCAGATCCTCAGCAGCAGAAAGGCAGGCCAGGGACCAAGATCTCAGCTCAGCTCCACGGAGAACGTCTAGGCCCTCTGTGACTTGCCCTACTCTGGAGCTCAGTTGTCCCCACCTGTAAAATGGAGGAGTTGGACCCAATCACTGATTTTCGAACTTCCAATTTTTTTTGTTTTTGGCGTCGCAGTATTATGTTTTCCACAAAAGCCCGATTTAACAGAACAAAGAGCGGGGGCTGTCTGGCTGGAGCAGCATAGGGGAGCAGAGCCCTCCTGCTGGTGTTCCCCTGCGGACTTCAGCTGAACATCACAAGTGGGCTCACATCCTAGGTCCTTACAGCTCACACCCTAGGTCCTTAAGCTCACATCCTAGGTCCTTACAGCTCTAACTTTCTACAATGTTCTTTTCCCTTCAGATGTTATAGCTCATCACAGACCCTTAAAAACAGACTTAAACAGCAGGCAAGGTCTCATCTAAAAACAGTCAATTCGGAAACTTCTTGCAAGGCAAATAGAAAAACGGCACCAGGTCCCACTGGAATCTCAGTGACTGAGAGTTTCGTTTTCTGGTAAAAAATATAGAAATAGTGGTTGTTCTTGGGGACTTGTGGCTTGGTCCTGGACCTCCCCACGGAGCGGAGTGGTGTCCCTGAGGGTGAGCAGGGCAGGAGGCCCTGCTCAGAACCTCCCTGAGCCTGTCTGCAAGTTTTTGATCTCCAGTTCCAACTGTTTGGCCTGCACCTCACGCTGGGTCACCAGCTCCCGGAGCCTTCGGATCTCTTCCTGTTGCCGGTAGAACATCTGCAGCAGCTGGGAAAGCAAAGAGCAGACGGCAAGGTCACCTGGGGTCAGGGGCCAGAACCACAGCCGAGAACCTAACATGTGACCCTTTTTTGACTCAGAAAAGATGGAAGTGGTTAAAGCAGTGCGGCTGGAGCCACTGGGGGCAGCCGTGACACAGGCCTTTTATAAGAATCTTGTGTTTTTCACCCAGTAAGAATTCAAAAAGACTTCAACACTTCAGATATGTTTTGCCTCCTTCGCTCTCCCATGAGATAGAGGAAAGGGTACTTGGTCCTGATCTGGAGACTGGTGTGGCCACTACCACCAAGCTGGGGGACCTTGGGTAAGTTGCTTACCCTCTCTGAGCTTCCATTTCCTCCTCTGGGAAGTGGGGGTCAGAAAACCAACTGCATCAGTGTAATTGCTGCCACTGTACAGAATGGCCCCTAGGTGTTGAGTGTTCTGCTAAGGACTGTCATCTTCCCTCTGGATGCCCACAGCACCCCTAGGAGGATGGCTTTGTCAGGACCCCAGTTAGCACTCCGGAAACATGTACTGATGCTTACAGACATTCAGCCCCAGGGAACGAGGTTCTGTGGTTAGTTCTTGGCAGAGACAGGATTAGAGTCCTGAGAGATGCCTGTCCTTGCCAGGGTTTTGAAACCTGTGAGAGCCGGCACGGGACAGGGCTGCCTTGAATTACCAGCTCTTACAGGTTGTCCCCGCCGCTCATCTGTCAGTTTGTCCTACTGCGGTGGCGTGTATGTTGCTGTGACGCTGGAGGCTATGCCATGGGTATTTCAAATACCAGCAGGGTCACCCACAGTGGACGGGTTTTGGCGGAGTTTCAAGACCAAGACAGACTCTGTCTCAGGAAGAAGGAAGGGGCCATCCACTTCTCAAAGAATTGGCCAGTGAAAACCTTATGAACAGCAGTGAACCACCATCTGATATATTACTGGAAAACGTGGTGAACAGCCCTGAAATATCGTCTGATATAGTGCCAGAAGATGAGCCCATCAAGTCGGAAGGTGCTCAAAATATGACTGGGGGAGAGCTACTTCCTCGGAGCAGAGCTGACCTTACTGATGTGGATGGAGTAAAGCTCTGGGGCCCTCCACGTGCTGACGGGGCACGACTCAAAATGGGAAGAAACAGCTGCAAACATTAATCATCGGAACATGGAATGTACGAAGTATGAATCTAGGAAAATTAGAAGTTGTCAAAAATGAAATGGAATGCATAAAGATTGATATCCTAGGCATTAGTGAGCTGAAATGGACTGGTTTGGGCATTTTGAATCAGACAATCATATGATGTACTATGCCAGGAATGACAAATTGAAGAGGAATGGTTTGACATTCGTCATCACAACGGTTTCAAGATCTGTCCTGAAGTACAATGCTGTCAGTGACAGGATAATATCCATACACATATGAGGAAGACCTGTTAATACTACAATTATTCAAATTTATGCACCAATCACCAAAGCCAAAGATGAGGAAATTGAAGATTTTTACCAACTTCTGCAGTCTGAAATTGACCAAACATGCAATCAAGATTATTACTGGTGATTGGAATGCAAAAGTTGAAAACAAATAAGAATCACTGGTATTGGGAAAATATGGCCTTGGTGGTAGAAATGAGGCTGGAGATTGTATGATGGAATTTTGAAAGACCAGTGGCTTATTCATTGCAAATACCTTTTTCAAAACATAAACGGTAGCTTATACACGTGGACTTTGCCAGATGGAGTCCACAGGAATCAGACTGACTACATCTGTGCAAAGAGGCGATGGAGAAACTCACTATCATCAGCCAAAACAAGGCCAGGAGCTGACTGTGGAACAGACCATCAGCTGCTCATGTGCAAGTTCAAGTTGAAGCTGGAGACACTTAAAACAAGTCCACGAGAGCCAAAATATGACCTTGATTATATCCCTCCTGAATTTAAAGACCATCTAAAGAATAAATTTGATGCATTGAACACCAAGGACCAAAAACTCGAGGAATTGTGGGATGACATCAAGAGCATCATCCATGAAGAGAGCAAAAGGTCATTCAAAAGACAGGAAGAAAAGACCAAAATGGATGTCAGAAGAGACTCTGAAACTTGCTCTTGAGTGGAGAGTAGCTAAAGCAAATGAAAGAAATGACAAGATAAAAGAGCTAAACAGAAGATTTCAAAGAGCAGCTCAAGAAGACAAAGTCAATTATTATAATGAAATGTGCAAAGACCTGGAGTTTGAAAACAAAAGGGAAGAACATGCTCAGCATTTTTCAAGCTAAAGAACTAAAGGAAAAAATTCAAGCCTCGAGTTGCAATATTGAAGGATTCTATGGGCAAAATATTAAATGATGCAGGAAACATCAAAAGAAAAGGAATACACAGAGTCAACTGTACCAAAAAGAACTGGTCGATGTTCATCCATTTCAGGAGGTGGCATATGATCAAGAATCCATGGTATTGAAGGAAGAAGTTGAAGCTGCACTGAAGGAATTGGTGAAGAATAAGGTTCCAGGAATGGACGGAATACACATTGAGATGTTTCAACAAACGGATGCAACACTGGAGGCACTCACTCGGTTATGCCAGGAGATTTGGAAGATAGCTCCCTGGCCAACTGACTGGAAGAGATGCATATTTGTACCCATTTCAAAGAAAGGTGATCCCACAGAATGTGGAAATTATCAAACAATACCATTAATATCACACACAAGTAAAATCTTACTGAAAATAATTAAAAAATGGTTGTAGCAGTATATTGACAGAGAACTTCTAGAAATATAAGCTGGATTCAGAAGAGGATGTGGAATGAGGGATATGACTGATGATGCCAGATGGATCTTAGCTGAAAGCAAGTAACACAAGAAAGATGTTTACTTGTGTTATATTGACTATGCAAAGGCATTCGATTGTGTGGATCATAACAAATTATGGATAACGTTGAGAAGAATGGGAATTCCAGAACACTTGATTGTACTCATGAGGAACATGTACATAGACCAGGAGGCTGTCATTGGAACAGAACAAGGGGATACTGAGTGGTTTAAAATCAGGAAGGGAGTGCATCAGGGTTGTATAAGTATGATAAAAGGTTATCATACTCATTCAATCTGTACGCTGAGCAAATAATCCGAGAAGCTGGACTATATGAAGAAGAGTGCAGCATCAGGATTGGGGGAAGACTCAATAACAATCTGTGATATGCAGATGACACAATTTTGCTGCTGAAAGTGAGGATGAAGATCAAAGACTGCAGTCTGCAGTATGGATTACATCTCAACATAGAGAAAACAAAAATCCTCACAACTGGACCCATAAGCAGCATCACAATGAATGGAGAAAGGACTGAAGTTGTCAAGGATTCCATGTGACTTGGTTCCACAATCAGCATCAACGGAAGCAGCAGTTAAGACGTCAGACGACGTACTGCACTGGGGCAAGTCTGCTGGAGACCTCTTTCAAGTTTTTTCAAGTCTTTCATCTTTGCAGAAGAGCAAAGATGTCTCTTTGAAGACTAAAGTGTGCCTAACCCAAGCCATAGCATTTTCAGTTGTCTCGTGTGTGAGAGCAGGACAATGAATGAGGAAGACTGAAGAAGAGTCGATGCTTTTGAGTTGTGGAGCTGGCGAAGAATGCTGAAAGTACCACGGACTGCTAAAAGAACTAATAGATCTGTCCTGGAGGAAGTGCAGCCGGAATGCTCCATGGAAGCAAGAATGGCCAGACTTCATCTCACCGACTTTGGCCATGTTGTCAGAAGGGACCATTCCCTTGAGAAGGGTATCATGCTTGTTAAAGTGGAGGGTCAACAGAAAAGGGGAAGGCCCTCAATAAGATGGATTGATACACTGGCTGCAATGATGGGCTCAGGTATAGCAAGGGCACAAGACTGGGCAGTGTCTTGTGTTGCTGTGCATAGGGTTGCTATGGTCGGAGCTGACTCGATGGCACCTAACAGCATCAACAGTTGTCTGTCTTTGACAGGTGCAGTCTTACCAGTTTTCCATTGGACTCTATTAAAACCAAACCAAATGCACTGCTGTCGAGTTGGATCCGACTCATAGAGACTCCTTCTTGGGTTTCCAAGGCAGTATCACTATGGAAGGAAGGAACCTTCCTTCCAAGGAGTGGCTGATGGGTTTGAACAGCCAGCCTTCTGGTTAGCAGTCAAATGCTTTAGGCACTATGCCACCAGAGCTTCCTTGGACTCTATTAGTGAAAAATATTTGCGTTTTCTGTCTCTGATAGGTTTCCGCCTTACACAGATTCCAGCTTTACACAGCTTTACTGTTCAGACTGATTGTCTGGGATTGAACTGTGTCCCCCAAAATATGTGATGTAAATTCTCCCCCCAGGCCTGTGGTCATAATGCCACTGGGGAACAGGTCTACGCTTTGTGACGTAAAGAGGTCAGATCAGTGTCAGTGGGTTTTAAGCCCATCACCAATGAGACATAAAGGAGCAGAGAAGCTGAGATGGGGGAAGGCATCTGCCACACCACAGGAAGACCCCCAGGAACAAGGAACAAGGACCCTCCCCCAGAGCCCTTCCCTGGAGCCAAAAGCCAAGAACAGTTAGCTGCTAAAAGACCCACTGCATCATGCCAGTTCCCACTCAGCAATCCTATAGGGCAGAGGAGAATGGCCCCATACAGTTTCTAAGACTGTAAATCCCTACAGAAGCAGACTGCCTCATCATGGCCAACCTTGTGATTAGCAGCTGAATGCTTTAACCACTGCACCACCAGCGCTCCTCCCATGGAGCCAGCACCTTGAATTCAGACTTCTAGCCTCTTAAACTGTGAGAAAATAAACTTCTGTTTGTTAAAGGCACCCCCTTGTGGTATTTCTGTTACAATAGCACTAAAACCAACACACTGACTTCCTAGGACTACTAAGTGACTGAAATTAGTGACAGACCCCAAGTGCCTAAGATAGGGCAAGGTGCACAGTTGTTGTTGTTGTTATGTGCCATCGAGTCGGCCCCGACTCATAGCAACCCCTCCTTGGGTTTCCGAGGCAGTATCACTACGGAAGTAGGATTGCCCAACCTTCCTTCTGATGAGTGGCTGGTGGGTTTGAACCGCCAGCCGTCTGGTTAGCAGGCAAGTGTCTTAGCCACTATACTACCAGAGCTCCCAAGGTGCACAGTAGGCACTTAATAAAGGCTGACTCTGAACGCAGAGAAAATCCCAGAGCATCAGAACCAGAAATGACGCTGATCCCCATCAGGGAAAACCCTCCTCATTTTACCCATAGCCTGACCCAGGGCGCCCCCACGTGTGTCAGCAGAGAACTGCCCCACAGGGTTTTCAATGGCTGACTTTTTGGAAGCAGGTGGCCAGGCCTTTCCCTCCAGGTTAGCGGCTGAGGACTAATCACTGCCACCACCCAGGGAGGCCCTCTTCAGCTGACAGACTGGGAACAAACCCACCATCCTGGCACCTGGTTGCTGAATGAAGGAACAAAATGAGGTAAGTGGGCAGGCCAGGCCACACAGCTGGTATCTCCTCTCCCTCCCTGCCTCCCTCTCGTGCCGCTCTGCCGGGCGAGGGCAGTGTTGACAACATCCCCCCAGCTCCCGCTGGCCATACACAGGCCTGCTGGCCCTGCCCTCTTGTGCACACCTCGTTCTCTGTCTTTGGTGGGGGACATTCGAAAATGTCGAAGCCATTCGTGAGCCAGGCCTGCTTCTCTTCCAGCCTGTGTCCTGCTGCCCACCGTGGCGTCTTCTCCTCCGATAAGGAGAAGGGCCTATGGCCACCCTCTGGAGCCAACTTTTCCATCCGGTCCGGGGGCTGGGGTGAGGCTGGGGCCATGGAGTTGGAGAAGGACCTGTCTGGGGGCTGTGGCCGGGAGTTCAGCAACTCAGAGCCTGGCCTGAGAGACACCAGGAGTGGCCCTGGGAGGGAAAACAAGGACACTGTGAGGACTGACGACCCATGTGCAGAGAGCTGGCGGGGAGGGAGGCTATGAAGAGATACACGTCCAGTGTGGGAGAAAGGCCACACACAGACAGGCCCAACACGTGGACCAGGGCCGTCGGAGCACAGACGCCTGTGCTGCAGCTCCTGGAAACCAGGGGGCACGGCAAGCGCCTTAGGTCCGGCCCACCCACACTGACCTGCCGTCTCCCAAGTCCTTCATTCTCCCATCACCCCCCGGGAAGCGGGAGAGCCAGGCGTCCCAGACTCAGATGAGGACATGGGAGTCCCAGAGAGGAGGAAGACCCGTCTATGGGCGAACAAAACTGGGAGGATTCCCACTGGCTTCCAGCCCCCCAGACAGAGCCACGGGGGGGGGGGTGAAGGGAACGGGCAGGGCAGGGGCACTTCAGTCACAAAGCCAGCTCCTGGGAGGGGAGGGTGGAGGGAGGCACCCACTGCCCTCCGCCCCCTGTGCTGCCTCTCTTGTGGTCATGGAGGGAGAAGTGGGGCAAGGCACACAGAGTGGGAGAAGGGCCTGGCCGGGGGTTGCTGCCTGGAGGGTCCCTCAGGCCAAGAAGGATGGGGTGAGGGCTGGGCTGACCCGGTCACCCTACACAGCCCAGAGTTCAAAGACTTTCCATAGGGCCATGTTCCTGGAGTCGTGGGAGTTTTCTGAGCCACATGGAACACGCCTCTCTACAACTTCTCTGACCATCCCAGCCACTGGGCACTGGCTGTCCTCTGGGGTTACAGAAGAATACAAATACAGGCTGAACCCCTCGGGGCTCCCGGGAACACTGGGCACGAGTTTCCCTACATCTGCCTGAAGCCTTGCGTCTGCCGTGCTCACCTCGGTTCATGCCGCTGAGCCACTCCTGGGCCGTGAGAGAGGGCTGGGCCCCTGCTGTGGGGGGGTAGATGTCCTCTTGGTAGGATTCTGACTGCAGAAGAAGTCAGGACAGCAGGATGAGGGGGGAGGAAGGGCTGCCCAGGTGGGAGCTAGCCTCTCCCCAGCTCTGCCGAGGTGGGGAAATCAAGGCTCAGAGAGCAGAGGTGTCACCCAGGGTCACCCAGCACCTCAGGAGCCAAGGTGGGTGAGACCCAGGACTCCTGGTTCCTGGTGATGCCACAATAGCCATGAGAAGGCCTTCCCCTTGGGGAGTGGCCGCTGGCCTCCCCATGGCAGGTCCCTGCCTCCCTCTGGGCTGGCCCCACTGCCCTTACCCGCCGGGGCACAATCATGGATATGGGTTCGATGAGGCTTTTGGTTGTGACCAGCTTGTAGAAGCGGAAGATCTCACAGGAGCACACGTCAAGGCCTCTCTTTGGCATGACACCTGCAAGCAGACGGCCAAGGGGACAGAAGGCTGCAGGCTGGCTTGGGGGTCATAGGGACGCAGCCCGCATGCCCAGACGTAGACAAGAACAACCCTTCTCCCACTTTCCTTCACTCAACGAACCATAAACAAATACCTATTCTGGGCTGGGCTCTGTGCCTGGGAAACAACCAAGGTAATTCCCACCTTCAAGGATTTTGGGAGTGCTGGTGGTGTAGTGCCTAAGGCACTTGACCACTAACCAGAAGGCTGGCAGTTCAAACCCACCAGCCACTACTCGGAAGGAAGGCTGGGCAATCTACTTCTGTAGTGATACCGCCTCGGAAATCCAAGGAGGGGTTGCTATGAGTCGGATCCAACTCGATGGCAGTGGGTTTTTTTTGGTTTTCAAGGATTTCAGTGATTCTAGCTAGGCACTCTGGTGGCATAGCGTCTGAGGCATTTGACTGCTAACCAGAGGACTGGTAGTTCAAACCCACCAGCCACTCCTCGGAAGGAAGACTGAGCAATCTACTACTGAGGTAGTGATACCGCCTCAGAAACCCAAGGAGGGGTCGCTATGAGTCAGGTCCAACTCGACGGTAGTGAGTTTTTTTTAAGCTGGCCTTACGGTAGGTTTGCTCTGCATGTTGTTGGTGGGTACAGTGGAGTCGATTCTTATCACAGTGACTCCCTGTGACAGAACAGAACCACCTCAGAGAATCTGCAGTTCAAATCCACCAGCCGCTCTGGCAGAAAGACACGGCAGCTGCTTCCGTGAAGATTGACAGCCTTGGAAACCCTGCGAGGCAGTTTCACTCTGTCCTCTAGGGGCGCTGTGGGTCAGAATGGACTCCAGGGCAGTGGGTGTAGTTTGGGCTTTGCTTCTGTGAAGATCGACAGCCTTGGAGACCCTGTGGGGCAGTTCCACTCAGTCCTCTAGGGGCGCTGTGGGTCGGAATGGACTCCATGCAGTGGGTAACCTTTTCAGAAGCAGATTGTCTGGTCTTTCTCCCCAGAAGCTGCTGGCTGAGTTCAAACCAAGTTTTCAATCGGTAGCTGAGTGCTTAACCATTTGCACCACTAGGGCTCCTTCCACTCTGCACAGGGCCCCCCATCTCCAGTCCCGTCGCCCCTCTGAGCCAAACACACTTAAAATGCAGGTTGGGGGATGGGGGCTGCTCCCTGGATGCTCTCTCCGGCTGGCCTCTCAGGTCTCCCGCTGTTGCTGTAACCGCCCTATCCTGGGCCAGGAGCACCTTCATTCTCCTCTGGTGCCCTACTCTGCTCTTCCGGCTCCTCCAACACTGCCTCCTCCAGGCAGCCTTCCCTGACTTCCTCTTTTGTGCTTTGAGACAACCCCTTGCACATCTCAATTACAATTCCAGTGACAGTTACAGTCGGAGTGCTGAGGTGCCATCTCCCCTACGGATTGTGGGCCCCTCCGGGGAGGACCCATTGTCTGACTCGCCCCTGTCTCTGCAGGCCTGGCACTGAAGCCCTGACCTCGAGTGGCCTCGGGGCCCCACACTCACCGATCCCCTTCTGCGGGTAATAGGAGCGGTATTCGGTCAGGTAGTTCAAGTGAGGCTTGTCCGAGCTCACCTCGTAGTAGCGAATGTTGCCATCGCCCTGAGGGGGAGGAAGGGAAGATGCAGAGTGGGCTCCTGGGTCCATCACCTCCCCCCCTGGCATTCACAGTGAGTGAGCGGCTGGCAAACCCACCTCACACAAGGGAAACCTGGGGGACTCGGGGTCCCCCAAGAAGGGAGGGGGTTCTCATTTGACTGTTCCATCCCCCAACCAGGACCCTCGTCCACCCTGTCCCTCCAGAGCAGAGGCTTTGGGAAGATGAGCCCCAGGCCCACGCTCACCTGAGAATCACAGACACGGCTCAGAACTGGCTGGGCCTCAGAGACCGGCCACGGGTCTCAGCCTTGGAGGGCGTTTGTGATCATCACAGAGTGTGGGCCGGGGCAGAGGCTGGCACTGGTGGGCAGTGGCCAGGGGAGCCAAATGTGGCACAGTCCTACCCAGTGAAGACCTCTTGTGCCCCAAATTTAAAGAGTGCTCTGCCGAGGCACACTGACTGGTCCCGCCCCACCTGGCCCCACAGCTGGCAGGGGCTAATGCCTGGTGAGAGGGGCACCGGGCTTCCCACAGGGGGAGTGGCGGGCTTCCCACAGGGGGAGTGGTGGGCTTCCCACAGGGGGAGTGGTCAGCGAGCCATTCTGAGTGTGCCTCAAGTGGGTGTGGGCCAGCTGAGATCACAGGCTTGCCCCCCGCAAGGGCTAAAGGGAACGGGCTTCTGCTGCAGGGAAGAGGCCCTGCCTCCAGCCCATCTTCAGGGTCCCCCAAATGCTGGATATGGCGCACTGTGCATGGTGTACGCACATCCCAACACAATCATTTAAACAAGGAAGGAACTGAAGCTCTTTCCATGGAGAATGTGTGAGGACAAAAGAACCATTTCCACCCACCTCTCCTCCTCCTGCCTCTGGGCACCCTGTATGAACCTCAACAACCATGAAGTGGCCTGACCGGCCCCAGAGGGAGTGGTGCTGCCCCTGCCCCACCCCATGGACGCCAGGCTGCTGTCGTGCACCAGTGGGGCCAGCTGGCAGCACAGCCGTTTGCCGCCTCCCCGCCCATGCCCGGCTGACCTTCCCCACCACGTAGAGCATGTTGGTGTCCACATCATAGAAGGGGAACAGCACCCCTGAAGAGCCATCCAGGTCCTCCTCTGTGAGAGGCACAGAGAGGTCATCCTGCGAGGAGAGGGGAGACCAGCAAGGCTGGTGGTCACTCACGGGGCCCTCAGCCAGCATGGGAATCCCTGCCACAGGGTGGGGGATGTGTGTGTGTAAGAGAGAGATAGATGTAGTGTGTGTTTCTAAGGAGAGACTGAGTTAGTGTGGGTACAAGAGAGTTTGTGTGTGAGAGACTGAGTTAGTATTTGTGTGCAAGACAGTGAGTGTGTGTGAGAGAGTTTCTCTGTGTGAGAGACTGAGTGTACAGGGTGTGTAAGAGAGAGGCTGAGTGTGAGACAGAGACTGAGTGTGGGCAAGAGTGTGCGTGCGTGTGCGTGTGCGTGTCACAGACTGAGGCTGTATGTTTGTGGGCCGTCGGGAGGAGGTCCAGGTTCATGACGTCCAGCCTGTGGGCTGCTGTCATGGAGATGTTATTTTCAGACTCTCACCCGCAACCACATCTTCTCTCTCGCGTCACTCTCCATTAGCAAACCACCATCCAGACACCTAATCTCCCCCACGCCGCCTGTTGGTTTGCTGACTTTAGTAGGTGAAGGAGGCCACTGAGGAAGGGAAGCGGCATGCCCGGCCTTTGAAATCCCAGTCAGGTGCTCCTTCAGATCAGCACTGCTTGTCCTGGTCCTCACCCTACTCCCATGAGGCCCCCACCCTAAACGACAAGCTCCTCCCGCCCACCCCCCCAGGACTTTGCCCCTAGTCTTTGCTGCAGCTGCTGCTTCAGCCCAGAAGACCCTCTGCTTCCCATCCCTCCCAGTCCCGGTCCCAGATTCAGAGCCTCTCTGCCGAGTGCCGCCTGGCTCTCTCCTGGCCTGACGAGATGCACACAGGCCTGGGCTCACCCACTGGGCTGTCAGCATCTCCGTCATTGTGCCTGGATCCCCAGCACCTGGCAGCCTGACTAAGAAAGTCCTTGAGAAACGAATGAACGAATGACCGCATGAACAGATGCATGAGGTGTGCACTTGGCCGAGAGGCGATGGTGAGGGGGCAGTGGGACTGGGTGTGAGGCGCACCTGGTCCCACAGGGCCATCTGCCGGTTGTTCCATCGGGATGTGCCTGTGGACAGCAGCTTCCTCAGGTTCCCCAGAAACAGCACCTTGTTGGCCCGGTGCCCTTTGTAGCTGGCTTCCTGCAGGAACACGGGCAGGTGGGACAGACACCCTGGGAGAGGGTCCTGGTGCTGGCGCCTCTGGCCTCCCTGGCATCATGCTGCTCTGCCGAGGAAGCCTGCCCTCCTCACCACAGCTCTGCCTGCAGTACCCTGTGGGCCACCGCCTCTGGGAGCCTTCTGTGTACATGGACTCTCCCCTTCTGTGTAGCTGGGGGTTATTTTTCCGAGCACCTGCGTGTGCCATGCAGCAGGGTGGGCGGGCAACGTCACCTGCACAGCTCATCCCAGAGGACTGCGGCCCAGTGTCGCAGAGGATGGACAGAGGCTAAGAGCCTAAGGTCACACGGTGGAGCGATGGGGCACCCCCAGCTCTCCCGACCCCACGGCCAGTGACAGAGCTGAGGTGCACTCCGAAGTGTTGGAGTTAGTTAATTACGCACACAAGGCTGGGCTCACCCACCAGGCTGGCAGCATCTCCCTGTCATTCACTCCTGGATCTCCAGCACCAGGCAGGTTCAAATCCCAACTCTCTATATGAGCAAGTCACTTCACCTCTCTTTAGCCTCCGTTTCCTCATCTGAAAAATGGGGAGACCCTATCTCCCAAGGGCCCTGAGAGTCCAGAACCAACCAAAAACCAAACCACTGCCATCAAGTCGGGAGCTCTGGTAGCATAGGGCCTAAGGCACTGGACTGCTGACCAGAAGGCTGGCGGTTCAACCCCACCAGCAACTCCTCGGAAGGAAGATGGGGCTATCTACTTCCGTAGTGATACTGCCTCGGCAACCCACGGAGGGGTCGCTATGAGTCAGGTCCGACTCGACGGCACATAACAACAACAAGCCATCAAGTCGACTCCAACTCACAGTGACCCCCACTGGGTCTCCAAGGCTATAAATCTTGACGGAAGGACACTGCCTCATCTGTGTTCCACAGAGCGGCTGGTGGGTTCAGACCACCAGCCTTCTGGTTAGCAGCCAAATGTCTTAACCACTAACCCCCCCAGAGTTCCTGGAGAACGCAGAAGGGGATAATATGTGAAAGCTGTCCTCAGAAACTTCCCCACCCCCACTGTGCTCCATAGTCCTCTGACCCCTACCTTCTGATGTCCATGCCAGATGCTAGCCCAGCACTGACCTTGAGGACCGACCCCATTCGGGGGTCGAGGATTCGAATCTTGCGGTCTTTGCAGGCGGTGGCCAGCAGGCTGCCATTGGTGTTGAAGGACATGGAGAGGATCACATCTTGGTGACAGTCAATTGTCCTCACGGGGCTCATGATTACCGCCTCCTTTGTGTCCAGGTTCCAGACCATCACCTGCAGAGCAGGGCCAGCTGAGCACAGCAGCCACCCCCACCCCAGCCCCCACGGCCACCGCCTGCTGGGCTACAGTGAAACACAGTACCCCCGGGAGGGGATAGTGCAGATGGCGGCCTGGCCACGAAGCCTCGGGCGGGCCGGACCTGGGTCTGAGGCTGCACAGAGCAGCGGGGGGGCTGGGAGTCAGGCTGTGTGGCAGGGAAAGGAAGACACCATCTGCCCTTGAGCAACAAAGCACCCATGCTGGGAGGACCCTAGGAGACCCGCTAATCCAGGGGGTTTCAACTCTTAGCAGCATAGCTTCCACCTCACACAAACGGGGCTGCCACGTTCCGCTGCACGGGCCGTGCACTGCACAAGCTCCACAGTAAGCCAGCCCCACAGCCTCAATGAGAACAGCACCCCAGCGAGACGTGGACGGAGCGGGCTGCTCGGCCGGGGGCAGCGGCCCTGCAGACAGCTCCGTCTGTCAGATAAGAGAGGATCCTTCTGACTGGAAGGAGGTGGGGAGCCCAGAGGCACCCAGAGCACCCCCAACCCTTTCATCCATTTGAGAGCCCTGTGGAGTCGCAAAGGGAAACGTGTAAGAGCCTCAGCTATGGTCCCATCCACCCCATCTGTGTACAGCTTGGGAAACTGAGGCCCAGAGAAGACAAGGGCCTTGCCTGGGTTAGACAGCAAATCAGAGACCGAGCTGGGAGAGACTCCACAGGGTGTAGGAGCAGGGGGCCTTCTCTGGGCAGGGCCCAGCCCACCTCCCCAAGCAGACCCACCTTGTAGTCATAGCCAGAGCTGAAGAGGATGTCGGCGGCGGTGGGGTGCCACTCCACCAGGCCCACTCTGCGGGAGTGGCCCACCAGCTCCTTGCTGAAGGCTGTGAGGTTCCTGGACAGCAGCTGCTTCGGGATGTCCCAGATCTTAATCTGGCAAGGAGACCCGGCCCAGGGGGAGTCAGCCAGAGCCCCTCAGAGCCCTGCCACCCCACGCCTGGCAGTGCCCAGCACAAGGACTAGGGGAGCTCTCTGTGTCAAACTCTCACGCAGTGATAGGGAAGCTTGGGGCCCTCAGAGGGCCAGGGGCTTCACCGGGGTCCCCCAGCCTGAGCACGGACAGGCATTGAGCCAAGATAAGCTGAGGTTTCCAACTCTGCCATCCTGGTGACCCAAGGGGGTGGGCAGATGGGCCATAGGTCTGTCCCCCAGGCTCGATGTCAGAGCAAATCTGCTCCCAGCCTAGGATGCCCCCCAAAGTACAATGGTCTGCCCACTCCTTGTCCAAAGGCCTGGGGGAGCCTCGAACGCCAGGACGACACGTTTGTGCTGTACCATCAGGGCACCAGGGAGCCAGCGCAGGATCCGGATCAGGACTGAACGGGGCCAAGTTCTGTGCTCTGGAGGAGCCCTTGGCTTGGACCGGCTGGGAGAGGCCTGAGCCGGATGGGTCACAGCCTGCACACCAGCGAGGCCTGCAAAGGGCCGGCTTCCTTCTGTCACTGCCGCAGGCAGCGGGCAGGTGGCCCTCACTCCGCTTCTACCGATCAGTGCCATGCAAGGGTGGAAGGGGCTGCCACAGCAGAAAGCAGAAAGTCCCGTCACGGAGGTGTACGAGCAGAGATACTGGGGTGCTGCCGAGGGAAACAGCGTGCAGGATGGTGGGGGCCTGATGTTCCCCAGTGCCCTGCAGCGTTCTCAGACCCCTACGTGAGGGGCCACACCCCTCTGAGAAAGATACAGGTTTTTCAAGTGGACTGTGTTTCAATTCAATTCAGCAAACATTTATTTCCTGGTCGTCTTGGATTCAAAACCAGGAAGCCAACCCACAAGAGTAGTGCCCGGCTCTACGTGGTAGAACCCCTGAGACTATGGCCCCTTGCTGCCCTTCGGGTCTGGAACTGAACCCATACCTGTGGCTTCCAGCCAAACAAAAGACAGACATATGAGCTAGACATTTACATTAGGTAGATACACTCCTTGGAGAGATCAGTCATGGGAGAATCGAAGGGCTGTGTGTGCACAGGGAGAGAGTCAGGGGGGTGGGAGTGCATGGGAGCGAAGGATACAGGGAAGAGGTAACTAAGGGGAGGAAGTGGGCGGGCAGCTGTTGCATTATGGGAAATTGCAGTCAATGTCATGAGACAAAGTGCATGTGAGCTGCTGTATGGAAAGTGAATTTGCTCTGTAAACTTTCACCCAAATCACAATAAAAATTAAAAATAAAGGTATTTTTAAAAAAAGAAAAGAGTAGTGCTAGGCTCTAGACAGGTCAGTCTGCGGAAGGCAGTGACCACACGGAACCAGCTTTGGCCTGGAGGGCAAACCCTTGGCAGGTCTGTATGGAAGGCATTCACACCATCCGCCAAACTGTGGCACCTAAGGCTGTCCTCTCCTCAGTACACCCCAGGGGACAAGGAGGGAAGCTCTGAGCACCTGGTCCACAGGGGCCTGAACTCACTCTGGGCCCTGCTGGAGGCAGAAAAGGCACTGCCATTCCTGACAATCACGTCCAGTGCCCCCGCCCCTGGGGTGTCCGGGACTGGACAGTGGTCTGCCCTCGGCCAGATGGGGATGGAAGAGACCTTTAAGGGAGCCTTCAAAGCCAGCTTGGAAGTGCAGGTATTACAGCAGTGGGACAGTGTCAGGCATCTGATGTCCTGTTAGAGGCCTTGCACTCACTGGAGACTAGGGCAGTTCTCACAGGGCCTGACTGCACTTTCAGCGAAGCCACCGTGGCAGGCACGGTCCTTAATTCCTCAGCCTCTCCTACATGGAAACCGACACAAGTCTTCTTAGAATTTTCTGCCTGCCTCTCCAGGTCTGCTCCCTTTGATCAGATAGTGAGGGCTCTGCAATATGTTCCATGTATTTCCCTTTTTGCCTTGGCTGCCAGGCAGCTCGGAGCTAAACCTAGGGCTTAGCTGCTGCAACCCTCCTGAGCCTCTATTTCTGGGATTATGTCCTCATCTTCCTCCGTTTGTGGCTCTTGCTGTTTGAGAAGGTGGCACAGCTCAGGGGAAGAACGGGCTTTGGAGTTAGAGCGGCCCCCGTCTAAAGGCTGACTCTGCCTCCCACAAACCGTGTGGTCAGGGACAAACTACTGCACCTCTCCGATCCTTGGCGCTCCATCAGAAAATCAGCCTACTGTGTGGGGCTGCTGGCAAGACTGAGTGATGTGGTACGCAAGGAGTCGGGAACACAGCAGGCCCACAATAAATGGTGACTGTGACTTTGAACCTTATTTTAATATCCGATCCTATCTGTGTCTTCTGTTTCAAGCCATACTCACTGTGTTAGAAGTAGCCACAGAATAAATTATAAACAACACTGGGTGTTGTGGGGACAGGGACTACATCCTTGGCACCGAACAGGAGCTCAAAAATGTTGCTGGAATTGAAGGTTTGGGGGTGGCTTTGGTTCCATTTTCATTTAAGGCTCCACTCCCTTCCTTTGAAGCTGGCTTTCCCATTGTCTGAGAGATTAAGTGGCCTAATGTTTTCTGACCACAGTGAAAATGTCCATCAGCATTTTATAGGCCCCCAAAGAGTGGGCTTTCCCACTGCAATAAAAGTCTCACTGAATCTTTGTAAGACAGGTGGGAGCCATTGTATGCATTTGATGGGAGGGGAAGCTGAGGTCTGTGGAGAGGAGGGGTGGTACCCCAAGTCCTAGAGTCCAGCACTTTTCCTCCTCAATCTGCTTAGCTCCCTTCCCCATGGTGACCTCACCTCAGCCATAAAGGAGTCTGGGGCCTCAGAGCTGAGCACACACAACATTGGAGCGCCTGCCCCATCCCGCTCTTTCCGTTATGGGCACCCCCTCACCACCTGGTGCTCACCGTGGCATCTTCGGAACAGGAGGCAATCTCAAAATCATCAAAAGGGTTCCACTTGATGTCTAAGACGTTCCCTCTGTGTCCGCAGACCTTGGGGTAGTGAGGGTCCAGCTTTCCCGTCTGCAAAACAATGCCCAGGAGAGTTGGGGGTGGGAGGGGACTGATTTGACTTCAGCTTCTAGATGGTCAGTGAGTCAGTAATCACTGAGTAGACAGGAAAATGTAAGGGACAAACTAGGTGTGATTCCAGGTCCCTGCCACAGATTCTCTGTGGGATCCTGGGCAGTACTCCACTTCTCTGAGCCTCAGTGTCTTTCTCAGTAAAACAGAGGCAATCCTAGGTACTTCACAGGAGTGGTGTGAGGGTCACAGGACAGGAGGTTGGGAAAGGAAGTACCACAATGCCTGGCATGTGGGAGCTCTGGTGGCGTAGTGCCTAAAGCATCTGACTGGTTCAAACACACCAGCCACTCCTCGGAAGGAAGATTGGGCAATCTACTTCTGTAGTGATACTGCCTTGGAAACCCAAGGAGGGGTCGCTATGAGTCAGATCCAACTGGATGGCAGTGAGTTTGTTTTTTTTTTTTTTTGGCCGTGGAGTCCATCCCAGCTCACAGTGTCCCTAGAAGACAGAATGGAACTGGCCCAGAGGGTTTCCAAGGCCGTCCATCTTCACAGAAAACCAAAAAAACAAACTCACTGCTGTCAAGTTGGATCCAACTCATAGTGACCCCTCCCCTTAAGTTTCTGAGGCAGTATCACTTCGGAAGTAGATTGCCCAATGGTCCTTCCAAGGAGTGGCTGATGGGTTTGATTCAACCAGCCTTCCTGTTAGCAGTCAAATGCCTTAGGCACTATGCCACCAGAGCTCCTATCTTCACAGAAGCAAAGCCCAAACCCAATCCACAGCCATGGAGTCGATTCCGACTCATAGCGCCCCTAGAGGACAGAGTGAAACCGCTCCACAGGGTTTCCAAGGCTGTCAGTCTTTATGGAAGCAGACTGCCACATTTTCTGTGAAGCGAGTTCAAACTGCTGACCTTTCAGTTAGCAGAAATGGTTTAACCACTGTGCCACCCGGGCTCTTGCATACAATAGGTGCTCAGTAGAGGGCATTTCTCCTCATATTCTGCTGGTAAATGGTGCAGCTGCTGTGGAAAACAGTCTGGCAGTTCTTCAAAAGGTTAAACACAGAGTGGCCACATGACCCAGCAACTCCACACCTAAGTATAGACCCAAGAGAAATGAAAACTCAGGCCCAAACAAAACCTTGACTGTTCATGGCAGCATTACTCATAACAGCCCCAAAGTGGAAGCCATCCAAATGCTCATCAAAGATGAGTGGATAAATGTGGCACACCACACAGTGGAACATTACTCAGCTCTGAAAAGGAGTGACGAGGGGGAGGTGGTGGTCATTGGGAGAAGTCCTCCATCCCCGTGGGTGACCTGGGCTGATTCCTGGCCGGTTCACCTCAAGTGCAGCCGCTGATCCGTCATCAGAGGCTGTTCCCAAGGCAGACGAGGAGAAAGGCCAGAAATCTACTTCCCCAAATCAGCCAACGGGGCGGGGAAAGGAACGCAGTACAGGTGTCCGCTGCAATTAGATGAACTTGGCAACACTGTGCCAGTGAAAGACGCCAGAGCCAAAAGGCCGCGCACTGTAGGGGTCACGCAGTGAAACGTCAACTGGGCAAACCCACCGAAACAGAATGGAGCTCAGTCATTGGCAGAAGCGGGGAGGCGGGGCAACGAGGACTGCCTGCTGACCGGGTGGGTGTGGGGTTTCCTTTCCGGGGCCATGAAGATGTTCTGGAACGAGCTAGTGGTGACGGCTGCACAGTCTTGTAAATATACTAAAGCCACTGAACTGGACACTTCTGAATGGTGGCCGGAGGGTCTTTGGACTGCACCTCATTTAGAAAAAAGGGCATTTCCCTCCCTTCCCTCTTCCCTGTTGAGAACTGCTGTATAGGTGCTGGGAGGGCCACCTGGGCCCCCAAACCCATGCCATGCAGCCCTGAAGCTGAGACTTCCAAATCCACCAACTGACTGGGACTTCCTGGGGTCTTAGGGCAGCAACAATCAATGCCCATGGACATAGAAGTCAAGAAATCAAATGATGCACTAATCTATGGGTAAACAGATGGGTACACAGGCTGAATGATCAGGTGTGTCTAGGCGAAAGAGAATATACCCATGACCATATGTAAGGCTGGCAGATGATACTTCTACATACGTATTTATTGTACGTGCTGTGAGAACGTCTGTATAAGAGAACTAACAGGGGACAGAGTTATGATAACCTCCCAGGGACAGTCAACCACCCTGATGGAGCGAGTTGAGGGACCTGTGGCTTGGGATCATGGCTGCAGGGACATCAAACTCAACTGGCATAACAGACTACACAAAAATACTGTTCCACATCCTACTTTAGTGAGCAGTGAGTGACTAGAGTCTTAAAACCTTAAAATCAGCCATCTAGATGCAATGATGGGTCTTTCCTCATTCAGAGCAAAGAATAATGAAGAAAACCAAAGGGGCATGGGAACGATTAGTCCAAGGGACTAGTGGACCCTGCAAAACTCAGCCTATATGACCATGAGACCAGAAGAACTAGACGGTGCCCAGCTACCACTGTCAACCACTTAGGAATCAGTGCAAGAGATCCTAGATAGAGTGGGAGAACAATGTGGAATAAAACTCAAAATCATAAAAAAAAAATAAAAATAAAAATAAGACCAGGTTTACTGGTCTGATACAGCCTGGGGAGATCCCTGAGACTATGGCCCCTAGTCACCCTTCAGGTCTGGAATGGAACTCTCTCCCGTGGTTTCCAGCCAACAATCGATAGGCATATGGGGTGAACATTTACATCAGGTAGATACACTCCTTAGAACGATCAATCATGGAAAAACAAAAGGGCAGTGTTTGCCCAGGGAGATGGCTCAGGGGGCAGGAATGCATAGGAAAGAAGGGCACAGGGAAGAGGTAACTTAAGGGAAGAAGATAAAAGAGAGCTGTTACATTGTGGGGATTGCGGTCAATGTCATGAAACAAACGTGTATGAACTGCTGTATGGAAGATGCATTTGCTCTGTAAATTTCATCCAAATGACACACACACACACACAAAATAAATAAACAAACTACTACAACAACAAAAGTCAACTTCTGTACTGCATTGGGCAAATCTGTTGCAGAAGACATCTTTAAAGTAATGTTAAAAAGCACAGATGTCACTTTGAGGACCAAGGTGCACCTGACCCAAGCCATGGTGTTTTCCATTGCCTCATACACGTATACTGGATAATGAATGAGGAAGACCGAAGAACGGATGCACTTGAAGGATGGTGTTAGAGGAAAGGTACCGAATGTATCATGGGCTGCCAGAGGAATGACCAAACTCACGGTGGAAGCAGTACAGCCAGAATGCTCCTTGGAAGAGAGGATGCTGAGATGCTGTCTCATGTACGTGGACAAGTTAGTAGGAGGGACCACTCCCAAGGACATCATGCTGAAGTACAAGGTCAGAAAAAGAGGAAGACTTTTAGCGAGATGGACTGACTCGTGGCCACACATGCACTGAAGCACGGCACCAGCTGTGAGGATGGCGAGGACCGGGTCCCCTTCGTTGCACACAGAGTCCCACGACTTGGAACTGACTTGATGGCACGTAATAGCAGTGATGATGGGGAGCGACACCTCAGTTCAGTCACAGAACCTCAGAGCTGTCAGCGTCCAACCCCCTCATTTTACACAGCCCAAGACTAAGGCTAGAAGTGGTCTGTCCAGGCCATACCACGTTGCCTTGGCAGAACAGGGACCAGGACCCAGGCCCTCTATCTACCAACACACGTACCACCCGAACGCTCGGCTGACCATGTATACGTTGAAGCAAAGAGACAGCTCAGGAGGCACTGGTCACCATCTTCCATCCAGCAAACATCGACGAGATTCCTGAGTTGAGGTGCTGGGTGCAAGACAGTCCTTGACCTCACAGACCCAAGCCTCAGGATTCTTTTAAAGGGAACTTTCAGGCACAGAGTGGACACAGGGAGTGAAGTAAAAACTATTTCCCCCACCCTGGCACCTGGATGAGAACAGAGAAGTAAACTAAATTACCCCCAACTATTTTCCCACCCTACAGATGGGTCTTCAGTTCCTTAAAGAACTGAATGGAAAACATTCCTGACTGCAGATTTTACAGATTTACAGACTTGCTAAAAGTATTTTAGAAACAACTTGTAAATGAACTCTGGCCCGCAGACATAAGGGAACCCAAATTAATTGCTGACCCTCTCCCCTCTGCCAAAGCCCCTATCAGCTGATAACAAGAAACTAGTGATTCATCCATAATTGTCACCCATTTCATGATCACACCCCAACTTTCTCAACCTTTTGTGAATATGCACAACCCCCTCTCCTGAAACCTACAAAAATTGTGTTTCAATGGCATCTCTGGGAGTTAAGATCTGGGTACAGACTACCCCTAACTCCTTGCACTGCTGCTTTGCAATAAATAATTTTCTCTCCTCTCAATCTCGGTGTGTAAACTGTTTTGGCCTGACTGCGTACCGGGCAGGGACCGCGTTTGGTCCGATAACAGGAGCACCCAGCCTCCTCTCTCTCCTTCCTCACCTCCCAACCTCTACAGAGACCACTTCACTTTGGTGTGACGTTCCTGAGCCCATGCTCAGTCATGACTGAGCAAAGATGCAGTGTAGTCTCTAAAATTGCTTTAAGGCTGAGAGGCGAGCAGACACAGGGCCTCCCCGCCGCCTCTGGCAGAGCAGAAAACACAGACAATTCGATCCCTGGTTCATGGGATTTCAGGCATGCCATTTAACAGCTCTGCAAACACAGAGGTGGCCCTGGGCTCCCCTTCCAGGAACGCTCTCTGCCAATTAATTCAGACCTCTGCTCTCAGCAATGGGTAGTAGATGACCAAGACTGGACCCCCCTGGCTCCTGTCCTGGGGAGGAGGGGGCTAGAAAGGACACTATCTGACACCTTGGAACAGGAAGGGCAGAGCCGATAAGAATACTGCATCAATGTTAAACTTACTGAAGGTGATAACGTTCTGTGGATAGACACATTACTGTGGATATAGAACATTTC